ACTGGTGCCATCGTTTTGCTAAATGGGATGCCTGTAAGCTGGGCAGCCAAGAAACAAGCTGGCGTCTCTCTCTCGACTATGGAGGCCGAATCTGTCGCGGCATCTGAGACGGCAAGCGAGCTTCTTGGTATTCAAGAGATGCTTAAAGAGGTAGGACTTGCACCGACTCAGCTTATGTCGATGCATGTGGATAACTAGGCCACGATTCGCCAGATCGAAGGAGAGACTTTGTCTCTAAAAGCTAAACACATCGACGTGCGTCTCAAGTTTGTTAAGGACTTTGCTCGTCGGGGCGTCGCTGAGAGGCGCTACGTCCGGTCCGAGCTTATGCCGCGGACTTACTGACAAAGGCGTTAGACCAGCACATGCTTGCAGAGCTGCGAGCGCTCGTGGGGTTGCGCTAGTTATGGCGGCGGAGACACGATCGCGAGGAGGAGTGTTAGAAGAACGGCTTACAGCACACGTTGCGCGATCGAATCTCCGGACCATAGGACGACGTGATTGCGCACACGAGGACGCGACATGATTGCGACCACGATGACGCGTCATGATTGCGCCCAGAATAACGCCATATGAAAGACTTAGAGGTAACTCGGATAGCGAACTAAGGACCTCAATATACTCACTCCGTCTTCTTTTAACAAAGTGATGATGTTTGGTGGAAGCAGAGCGACGCACCCACACTAGACCAGCACACCAGTCGCAGAAGACGCTACCACAAAATTTTTGTTAAAAGTGCACCCAGCTTGCCACCGCGAAAACGTGATTATCGGCGGCAAGAACACAGATGACGACAAAAACAGCCCCAAGCCTCTCAAGTGTGTCCCATTTGACCACTCGCATGCAATAGAGTGAGTGATTAAAGATACGAAGAATTGACTGAGTGAATATTTGCAAAAATGAGATACGAAAGGAGTGAGTGAAAGTTCAGAAGAATGTGCTAGGCCACTTTATTATTGTTGGGCTAGCCTTCTCAGTAACTTTTTAAGAAGAGAAAAGAAAAGAAGAGGTTTTCACACAGAACTTGGAATGAGTGCTAATTAAATCAATACTCAATACATACGTTTTTACTATCTCTTAGCATAATATTATTTTTAATGGCTTACCACCTCCCTTTTCGGATATCAGTACTGATTAATATTCGTAGCACAAAGTGAACCTCGTGCAAATACAAATTCTCGAAATGCCGTTACATAGACTGTTTAAGGAGAATCTTTCTCTGTGCACAGGGCACAGTGCACGGCACCCGGTAAAGTTGTCTGTCTGTTGCTGTCTTAAGGGCGGATAGCTCGTCACAAAGATGGTACTGCCATCTTGATTGCGACTATTGCAATAATAGTTCAACTGCTCGACAAATTAGAAGTAGGATGCCACATCATCTCTATTGGGACCTCTTTCAAATTTTTATATGTGGTCACTTAATCGAGGTAATCGAATGTCACTCAGCTAGTGAGAATATTCTTTGAATAGAAAAAAATGGACAGCAGTCAGTGCATGTGCGTAGCGACATCTACCTTTAAATAACGTATTTCGAGTGGATTAACGCTGGTATGCGACAGAATGCTTGAGTGCAAGACGGTAGCAGGTGGAAAAGATTTACGAGTGGCTTGCATTACGTGGTATGAGCCTTTTAATGGCACATTGTTCATATATCTTGACGATCTGGCGCTTTTGTGGTCACAGCACGTTTTTAAACTCACCCGACGTTTTGTCATGTAGAATGTGCGGGTGCGTCGACACCAACATACGAAGTCTTTTGAGTATTTGTTTGATATGAGGCTTGCAGGGAAGAAATGAGACCTCTCACGCACGATGTGCACGCGGACGGAAGTTGGAAGTGTGGTGGATGGTGAGAAATGAAATTCTTTACAAAGTGAAACATGCTGACTGTTTGATCTGGATGATATTGTAGCGGGACAGAGAACGCAGGAGCCTCTAAGGAGTGCTTGCAATGTCATATCCCTTTTTACTCGCTTGTGACAACGGCACCACCAGCACAGATTTTCTGCTCACGATGTGGCTTTTTGAATGATGGCGATAATCTTACATGCGTTGAGTGTGACTGTACGATTCGGTCTACTTTGGACAAGATTAGCACGAACTTAAGAGACAGTACCAACTTTTTGGCGAGAGACCTGGGCGTTAACATTCACGTCAAGTGTCCTGGATGCTTTTTGGTGTGCTATGTGCCTCCTGCCACTGCGTGCTTGCGCTGTGGAGCGTGTCATACTTACTTTGCGTCGCCTTCGATTGGAGAAGTTACTAACTTTTACATGAACCGCCTAGCGTCGTCTATTTCGAGCTCGTTTATGTCTTTTTTTGGACGAAAGCGAGGTGGAAAAGATGAAAGTGAAGTCACACGTCGTCAAGAGGAGGCTCGTGAAGCACCAGTTGGCCGACTGATTGCTGCAGGCCAAGGTGTCGCTCAATCGTCTTGTTATTCTTCGGCCAATAATGACGCAAGTCATTCATCCACAAGTACTCTTCAACTTTATGATAATGAAATGTCAAATGTCGAAATGGAAGAAAAGGCTGAGTTTTGTCAAATTCAAGCGCGTATCTCAGACTCGACAGCTCATTTAGAAGAAACGATGGCGAAGCTAGATGCCACAACACCGGAGTTTTTAAAATGTGACGTTGCGACGTCAGTGCACAGCGATATACCGGGTTACAGTGAAAAGAGGGAGCCTTACTCGCCTTTAAATCTGTCAAGTCCGAGTAAAGCGCAAGAACAGCCGATGTTTGCTCGACCAATGCCGTTGCGTGTAGCTCTTCCCCCAGCTCATCGAGAATTAGTCAAAGTGGAGGGAGATATTGTTGAGTTGTGACGTAAGCCACATTTCATAGCTATAGTGTTTAGTTTTCCTGCTTGCTCGTTTGTCCTAGTTTCACAACCACCAGTTGCACCATTACATTAATCCAAGTCCAGAGATACTTAACATCTAACATAACACATTTTGCACAAGCAAGGCGAAGCAGCAATGCAACCTACATAGTCACGCTGAAGCTGTGTTGAATTTGCTACACTACGCGCTAGCTGGCAGTACAGGAATAATAATAATATGTATGAATGGGTACGTGTGCGATGATGCGTCACCATCGTCGTTCTTCTTGCTTAAAATTGCTGTACCGGTCCGCAGGCATGGAATCCCATCGAGTACGGCGTCCTTGACGCGGCGGTGGTGCCTGGTAGTGGTCTCTTGATGGAGGATATCTATTATCCCGAGGCAAAAAAGGCATTTGCTGCTTTTTAACGGCAGCATAAGAATTTGTACTTCTTCCACCTTGTGAAAGCCCGACTTGAAAGTCCACAGTGTGCGGATGGTTTAATTTTGGTCGCTTGACAGTCGAAGGGGAATCCACACCGTTTCGGCTACTAGATTCCTCGTACCTTTCATTGCGTTTACTGTCCCGGTAGTCATTGTACCGATCTCGCATTCCGTCACGATGTGTAACAACCAATGCACTACTGTGGCGGCGGAGCGAAGGCTGCTGGGTTTGATCATACTCGCGATAAGATAAGCGATGGCCCTGAAGGATTTTCCCACCGTCCCTTTGTCCATGGACCAGCAATGTCGCGGAATTGGAAGAGTAGAAATCTTTGTGCGGCTGGTATCCAGAAAACAACGGATCCATTGCGGACGCAGCCAATAACTCTTGTCTCGCACGAAATTCAGCACGTTGTTCTTCCAGCTGCTTAAGCTCCAATGACTCAGCTTCACAAGCAGATGCATAGAGTTTCTCGAGAGCTCGTTCCTGCTGATCCGCCTCCTCAAGCGTTGTGGACGATGGAGATATTGAAAGCGAATCCCTCGCCTGTAAGTTTTTGAGCGTTTCTATCAGCACTTCACGCTTTGTTGCCTGATTTGTAAGGTTGATCCGATATTGCTCGACATGTCCGCGACTATTATCGAGGTCTAAATCGTAAACCTGTTGATCCATTTTGCTCCAGACGATGCCTCCTGCAGAAGGAAAACTATTTATGTGTTCACCGGTGTCCAAAACAGTGTCATCTTCTTCTGTTTCGTCTACGTCCCCGCACGCATGATGGAACACACTGATGCTCGACTCCAGCTGGAACATCCTATCACTAAGCATATCAGCACTGATGGTCGCATTCACTAAGTCTTGTAGACGTGTCGCCAACTGAGTGGTACAACTCGACTCCACTACCTCAGGCATGTCCTCTAGCACGTGATCAATCGATGCATCAGCTGTCATCTCCAGCAAAACTTTAGCCTTACTCTCTTCTAGCTTCTCGTCGGACTCAGAAGCATCTTCCCTACACGAAAAGTCCTATTTAAGAAATCATTTTAACACGGCATAAAGAATCTAAACCACGTACACTGGGGGGCTGCCGGCACACACACTTTCTAGCATAGCCAGCAAAGGCGGCGAAATAACCGCACGCTCTTTCCAAATACCCACTATCTTAATAGCGCAGCGCTTGACCTTCTCCTTTCCATCTTGCATTACCAACTGGAATATTTCGACAAGTTCCTTTTCGAATGCTGTGGTAATGTGGCGTCCAAACTTGCGTAAGCCGACCTGCATTGCATCATTGGCCACGTATAGATACACAATTTGGTGCTCTGCCTCTCCCTCACGGATAAGATCGCTCCAAAGTTTCACCATCTCGCTAAGATTTTGGCGATGAGTGAGCATCCATTGTGAAACCTTCTGAATGCTCTGCGTTGTCACTTTGGCTTGACGGAGTAGCCGCTCAAGCTTCTCACGCGAATACATGATATCCTCGACGACCACCCACTAGAAAATTGTACCGGTACTTAAAAATCCTGCGAAGAAGCATACTCACGCTTAGTGCGTGCTTAACATCAAAGTATTTTCGAGGCCAAATGTGCCAGTGCTTGAAATAGTGTTAACGGCTGACGGTTGCATTCTCTGTAACGCGCCTAGTCGAAGAGCTTCTAGTCACGATTTTTATCGCTTGTGTACACGTCCAAGGACTTGTTTGCCGAATTTCTTGTGGAGGCATACACTACCATGTTTATGAGCAGTTCGTCGTTCGATGACGACGCGTCCTATCGTAATGATAAAAGAGGGCGGAAGGGAGGAATGTGTGATGATGTGTCAAACGCGGTGAAGGCTTTTACTCTGGAAGATCGCATTACTGGAGTGCCCGCGCATCCGAACTATCTCAAGGATGACGTCGACGTAGAAGGAGCACTTGGAGGAGTTGAGTACCTCTCAGGTGCTCGCTCAAATGTCATCCAGCAGCAAAAAGAATTACAGAGAAAAAAGCTTCAGGAACGCATGGGAGGCGGTAAGTAAAATAGCTGAGCTCCATGTTGTTGCAAGATGATATGTGGTTTTATCCAGCAGGTGTTGTGCGCACTTCTCTTCCGAAACAATTCTCGGCTCCACGATCGATGGATATTGATGACAGGCCTTCGTATGTCGATTGCTATTTAATAGTTGCGCTCCAAGTCTTTTAAGTCTTAAATGATTTTTTTGTTAGTCGCTTTGGTCGAGACGATGATGAGCTAGAAAGCAATTTTGCTACTCGGGTTTCGGTGCCTCGTACAGGAAATGTTAAGAACCGTGGCAGCCCTGAAATTCAAGTTTACTCTCGTCGCAAGCGCGATGACGATGACGAAGATTGCCGCCTCAACCGTTCCGGTGGCTCTCTTGAGCGGGATCGGGATGGTCATGACAGAGACTACCATGGTGATCGTAGAATTCGTGGCAACAGCCGAGACCGGGGTCATGACCGCGGAGCTCGAGGAGATTGCGGCTTTTCTCGTGACCATGACACTGATCGAGGTCGTATGCGAGATCGTGGGGGGAGTGACAGTGATGGTTCCGAATGTGATCGCTCGTGTACTATGAAAGGTGTACGTATTGGCTCCCGTCGTCGTAATGTCTATGATGACGTACAAAAAGACGTCAAAGTCGACAGGTACAATAATTCTAGCTGTGAAAAAAATTGCAATCATATCTGTTCTTAAATATATGTAATAGTGGGCGAGGTCGGCATGGTGATGATCAAAGAGATCGGCATGGTGATGATCAAAGAGATCGGCATGGTGATGATCAAAGAGATCGGCCAAGTTATACGGGCGGCCGAGGCTTTTCTCAAAAGGTAAGTACAGATAGCTCTAGTAATTTTCAAACTCATATGTCGGAATGACGCGTTTTGATATAGCCTAGTGCCAGAGAGCGCTCTTTCTCTCGATCACGCTCGAGATCTCAATCGCAATCGCGATCTGGATCGGCATCGGATGCATCCTCCGACGGTGAGCGCGACCGAAACGTTACCATTCCTAAAGACCTAAATAACGGACGCGGTGCCGTCGCAAGTGTGCGCAAGCCGAAACTCGACATTACTAACATGCGGGCCTTCACAATGCGTCCCATTCCTAAGGCCTACGACGTAGTTGAATGCTATATTGAGCGCAACAAATCTGGTGCAAATAAGATGTTTCCAGAATACTGCTTGTACATGAAAGAAGGCGATCGCTTTTTGCTGACTGCAAAAAAGCGCCCGAAAAATCGAACTAGCAATTATCTTTTGTCTTTGCAGCGTGGAGATTTAGTTCGTCGCGGAAGTGATAATTATGTCGGCAAGTTGCGTGCTAATTTCTTGGGAACTGAATTTACAATTTATGATAACGGTTCCAATCCGAAAGATGCCGATCAACAGACAGTCACAAGCAATCCGTCGGGCATTCGCCAAGAACTTGGCATCGCCATGTACGCAGCCAACGTTTTGGGCCACCGTGGTCCGAGAAAGATGAAAGTCTGCGTGCCTCGCGTGCGTGAGGATGGAAATCGTGTGGTCTGGCGTCCGCTGAGTAAAGAAGACGAAATGGTGAACAAGTGCAAAGAGCAAGATCACACAAACCTCACGTACCTTATCAACAAACCGCCACGCTGGAACGACCAAGTGTGCGCCTATGTACTTAACTTTAATGGACGCGTTACTATGGCATCAGTGAAAAATTTTCAGCTTGTGACACCAGAGGATCAAGAGACGGTTGTGCTTCAATTTGGTCGCGTTGGAAAAGATTTGTTTACCATGGACTTTCGATGGCCTCTCTGCCCCCTTCAGGCCTTTGCCATTACGTTGAGCAGCTTTGATTCGAAACTTGCTTGCGAGTAAGGCATGAATGATAGCCCAATTTGCATAAATGATATTTGAATGTTTGTATTGCATTCACGGCCTTTTTTGTTCATACACGCTAAGTGAAGAATGATCATCTAGCAGGAATTAAACGCAAAGTGTCAGTCAAGAAATGGCGTTCAATTGAGGTGGCATGTCAAACTGTCAGGGAAATAATATCAAGTTATGCCTGTGAGTCGAAATATAACGGATTTTTACGAATAAA